CCGACTCCGGTATCTGAACAGGGCTGCCTATTGTGTTTCAATAATTTCCAGGCACGCTGTCTCACGTCGCTGAAGTTGCTGTTGAACGGAGTGAACGAGTGCAGCAGGGCGCTGATTTGCCGGGCCGCAGGATGTGCTTCCTCGCCGAGGTCCAGCGCCACGGCCGCCAGGCAGTAGGACGCCTTCGTGGGCACGGGCGGACAGTTGGCGTCCTGGACAAGAACCCAGATCAATAGCAAGCGTACAACTTTTGTAAGGACTTACAGCGATACGCAGACTTTTACCCTCAGTTCCCAGTTGCGTTCCTCCCATTTCCCATTCCCTAAACACATTGAATATTCAGGTCAGTCGTTACCTCATCGCCATCCTGTGTGGACTCGGCGTGCAGCGTGAGGCACTCGTCAAAGTCGCCCAGCTGATTCACATTCCCGCTGAGGAGACCGGCTGGGACACGTGCGTTGGCGTCAACCCCTAAGTTCCGGGAAATCAGAAAAAAAAAGTTTCGTGAACGTTTTCGCTTTCGTTAAAATGAACGTTTCTGGGCGTATGGCGAAAAACGGAAACGAAAACTTCTGGACTTCTGGACAATGGACATCGTTATTCGAACCTTGCCAACAGTTTTCGTTCATCACCCCTTTTCCCACTTTTCTTAGACTGCCATACATTATCTAATGTTGAGCACAGTGCTACACATTACCCCTAATCCGGAGCACCCCGTGCTTTCAATCATTAACAAAATAATGCAAAGTGCGCCCCACATAACTTGCGTAGCACTGTATGGTTGGATCAGGGAGCACCATAAAATAAGGTTCAGACAACAATAACAACGTGATGGAAACCATATTTTTGGTTTACACAAACACGACAATGTTGCATCAACCATATTTTATGGTGCTCCTTGAGTTAACCGTATGATATATGGTCGCTACAGCTAGTCATTTTTCTGGGGCGATAGACAAGCCAGATCCAGATCCAGCACTCGTGCGTGCGGTGCAGCATAACTACAGAAGTGAAGAGACCAGCCACCTGGTGCATTAGCGTAACAGTCTCCAGTTAACAGTCCAGACTCGGCTGCACGTATTGACTTACATTTGAGCGCCCAGACGTGGCCGAGGAGGGCGGCCCTGACGATGTTGCTCGCCTGCCGGCTGCACTGGCAGCTCGCGTTCACGGCTGGGAGCGCCGCAGACAGCTGGTAGAAGAGGCTGCCCTGGACCGCGGGGCGCACGAGGCGCTGTACTGGATGGAGAGAGAGAGAGAGAGAGAGGGAAAGGGGAAGTCCGTAGGAGGGAGTGGGAAGGCGTACCGCTCTGCAAGTAAAGTACGAAAGGAAGGGGTATATGACTTACGCTGCGGTGAGCTGCTCGGTGGCGCCACCGCGCCGACGGACCAAACGGCCAGGGCAAGGAGCAGCAGCTGACCCGCCCGCCACGGCGCCATGGCACAGGACACCTAAAAGTGGGAGTGAAGAGTCCCAAAAAGAAGAGCATCATTGGGGGTGTTCATTGTCAGGCACCCTTCAGTCAGGTGCAGCATTTGTCACGCATGACATGGAATATCCAAGACCAGAGGTTTAGTGAGACCTGCGGTTAATAAGTGAAGAGGAAGGTGCTTCAGTGGTCTCTGGTCTCCCTCCCTCCTTCCGCCCCCCTCCCCCACTAACTCACACATCCGACGTGCTGGTGTTGACCCCGTCATGTTGCGACAGGACGCTTGCCTTGGTGGCGGTGCGCGTGCGGCGTGGCTAGGCGTGGCGCAGAGGGCATAATCTGGCACCTTGCCGCACGCTGCCTAGTCCCTACCCCCACCCCATAGTTTTTTTTCATTTAGAAAAGCAGAAAAGCACGTTTTTTTCCTCAGGATAACGACACGTTGGTGACATTGGTAGATATTAGCAATACGCGGACAGTTTACCCCGTCCCATTTTAACCGCTTATTTACCTCCTACTTCTCTATTGGAAGTGGAATAACGATAGTATTGTGCTTGGTTAAAAGCCACCTTTAGCCCAACTACAACACCTACAGTTCTGCCAATGCTACCAATTTGCAGCTTGTGAAGAGTAAATGAATCTACAAAAGGTTTTTTTTGGGTGAGCTATTGATGCACAAAATTTAAAGAAATTGCGGAAATGAAGTCGTTTAAAACTATGAATCACGACTTCACTATCGACCTTTACCTCTCGCAAATCACAGCACTACACCGCTCGGCAGATTCGCGTGGGGTCGCGAACGACAGTGGCGGGTAGGGAAGTCCTCTCTCGGCGGTCCAGCTCGCGGGCAGCATGCGCCAGCCCGAGCGTCCAGCGGCGGTGCGTGGCGAAGACCGACTGGGCTCCGCGACGCTACGCTACGCCGTGCCGGCCTTGACCAACTCGGCCGGCCAGGTTCAGGAGGCCCGGTACGGCGCGCGGTGGGGAGGGCCGGCCCGCCACGCCGGGCTCATGTTGGGTTTCGCTGGAGTGAATGTGTTATTGGCTGGAGATGATAATATGTGTTGCGATCGACGGGAGGCGCGAGAAGAAAGCAAAGAACGCTCTCAGAATCTCATGGCGAATCTGCGTGACCCTTCTGTCCTTCCTGGTCACTTCAGAGAGAGTGATATCAGCCTCGATCGATGCAATCGATGAGAGAGCTACACTCGGCTACAGGTCCCTACTTTCTGGCCTAAGAGCTGATGGAATCATCCGCAAACTGGGTGAGCAACAAAGCCCGTGTATGACTCCCTACCCCAAGTACCGACTGAACAGGGACACCTGAAGGGGTCATTATCAGTTATCTTGTAGCAGGAGTCACGGATAGCGAGCACTAGTCAGTGCGAGAGAGACAGACTTATAAGTGACCCAGAAGAGTGAGAGAGCGCGAATGACAACAAAGTGGCCCGCGGCCCGCTTAGCCGGGACCCGGGACCCCTGTCTTGTGGCCTCGCGCAGCGGCAGGGTGGTGCTGCCAGAGCTTCCGATAAGGGCAGTAAGGGGTAGTCAAAATGAAAGCAAGTGAGACGTACGAGCACAAAATTAAATTTCTTAAGGAATTTTCTCGACCTTTAACTCAAATAAATTATCGAATCATCGTCGTTACTGGGTTGGATCATCCAATAAGCGTGTTTGTCTGTCATTCTGTCATCTATCGTTACACAATCGCCAAGTTCAAGTTAGCCAATGCAAGGTAAGGTCTCATAGCGCCTTACAGGTATGCAACATCTTGCCTGGAGTGCTCACGTGTACTGCAGGGTGGCCTACCCCAAGTTCCACAGGCGCCAAGTTCGATGGGGAGCTCTAACCCCACAACAGATGTTAAGAAGGAAAATTTTCCTCTCGGAGTAGGAAGGATAATAAATTAATTTCAGTAGAATAACTGGAAAATATTTTTAATGCTCTAAGCCTGATTTGATAACATGAAATACTTATCATGAAATAGAACTTTCTTTTCCTGGTACAAATTGAATTAATTACAGTATAACAAATAGCTAGTAGTTCTACATACAGTAACAATTTTGTCAAAATGTGACAGGCATTTAAAAATTCAACTTAGGAAATTGGTTTTATCACTTTCTGAAGAAACATGTGCCATGCATTTAAATGTCTGTTTCTCTGCTCCTAACTAAAGTGAATCAATCCTGAATCTTTTAGAATACCAAGATATTAAATGTTTCAGATTTTATGAAGAAAAATAATGGTAAATTAATTAAATTGCAGAGATTTCATCTGAAGGGTGAAACATGCATGATTTATCATTGCTTTCCAGTAATAGCAATCAACAGTGGAAACCATGAGAAAGTACCATATAATGTTATGCACAGCCATGTTGAGAATCAGAGTCCTAACCTGATGTTTCCACCAAAGTGGCAAAATTAAATAAAAACTGAAACACACCCAACTTAGATTGAAGTACAAATTATCCTGATCACATGACAAGGCTATCTTCAATATTGTGTTGGTACCTAATGCTACTCAGAGATAGGTACCTTCTAAGGTAGAGTAAGATAACATTTACTCAATCTGAACTGGATATAGTTTACAATTTTATAACAAGATTGAGAGGATCAGGACATGAAAATGTATCCTGTACATTCTTCACAAATCTGTTGGAATGGCACTAAAGCAGTATTGAAAAAGCACAATTGTCTTCCATTTTCTGCTTTCTATTTTCAGAAAACTGCATTGTGACTTGAAACAAAACAAAAATTTAAGTACACCAACATTCTTAACACATTTCACATTTACATAATCATGTCTCTAGTAAAATATTGTTTCATGTAACAATAAATATAATCTTTTCATTTCCATATCACAAATAGTACAAAATTTGTATCAAGATAGATATATTTTCAATTATAGATTTAAATTAAACAGACAGTAAGCCAAACACAGAGTTCTAGTACCATAGACATTTGGACATGAAAAATTTCAGTTCAACACGGACTTAACAAAAAATGTTCAAGCGACAGTTAATACTGCTTCTTCATAATGAAACTCAAATTATCAAATAACAATGCTCTGTTAATAGGACAGGATTGGTCAAGATGTAAAAGTACACATACTTTAAAACCACTTCATCCATCAACAGCTGCATGGCTTCAACTGCATGCTACTATAATAAAGGTAATGAACAACAAAACAAGAATAATATACAAAGACAGAAACAGATGAACAAACCTAGTGTTTAATAAGAACACCACCTATAAGAGGAAACAAAAATTACTAAGAAAGAAAAAGTTCTCATAAATAACAACAGTATTGAACTGACTTAATGTTCTTTTCTGCAGAACTAAAGGACTTGTAAAACTACCATACTAGCTACCAAATTAATAATACAACCGAAGCTTTCCTGGCAATGGTGACAAAACGCTAAATTTTCATCCATGATATGAATCACTGCACAAAGTATGAGGCAGACTTGAAACCTTAAAGGCATTCAATATGTGCATTGTGCTTGTCAGTAAAAAGTGAGAATTTTGACCGAGCAAAATAAAATGAAACGTCAAACTGATGTTCTTTTAATTATATACATTCTCACTAAACAAATCTTTGGTCGTCAACCTTCTGTAAAGTGGTTTGGTTTTGTTATCAGGACAAAATGGTAACATGGACGGGAGTCTCTGCAAATGCTGCTAGAGACAATCCATCAGGGTCTCTAAATTTTTCTTGAAAAGACTAGAGAAAAGACTCAAGAACTAAAGTGACTAACCTTCTCCAAGTCTCCTTATGGATTACACAAAAGGTGGATTAATACACAAATCAGGAACTACACTGCAACAACAGTGTAGACATATAATATAACCACTTTGATAACAAACAACACAACATGAAGTACATAGAAACACAGAGTCTACATAAATCAGCCTTTGATTTGGTTCATCTGCTCCATTCAAGAGAGCATGTTTACATGCATCCCACTACAAACTAGGTCAGTGACTAAATTACCAACAACATTGACTCTTTACACCACTCTAAACCCAATGAAGGGGAAGTAGCAAAAATGGAAATCCATGGCAAACTTCCTTGTTTAGAATTGATGTGTGCATAAAGAAAATAGAGCCATATACAACTAAAACAATAAATTCTGCCAACACAAAAATAGAACAAATAGGGAACTTGCTTAGACAGGGTGAGCAGAACAAATATATATTGACATCTTTTTAGATTTTAGGATGTGCATTGTGAGTTCCAGACAGTCAAAAAAGGCAAGAGCAAAACACCGCAGAGGAATAAAGCAGTCCCAATAAGAAACAATTTTTTGCACATCTCAACAAAGGTTTAACAAATTTCCGTTAGATTTTTAAATTTTGTCTTCTGACTAACAACGGTTGGCAAATAATCGGTGGGCAAATAACTTGCAATTACAATAGATATCAGTTGCAAAAAGTTTCAGAAGCAGCAGAGCACCTCAACCCAACTCAAAATTTGATATAAATCTTCCAACAAATACATGCAACAACTATTTCATACTACAGATGTCTCAGTCAGATTTGTTTAAGTGAATCCTTAACAAGATTAGACCTTAAAACTACACAAAATTCTTTGTCAATGAAAAATAGAATAAATTTCTGTATTTTTTTTTATGTACAATTTCAGTTCCAAACAGCATGTAGAAGATCAAGTCCACACTTTTGCTGCTATTTTGCCTATTTCTTGTGTTTCAAAAACC